GTAAGATATTAAATATTGAACATTATTGTATTTTAAAAATAATCAATTGACAAGTATTGACATGATTACGTCGTCTAAATGGAAAGATGTTATAGCCTTTATAAATCTTTATAAAATTACACTTGAATTTGTACCTCTGTTACTTCTTTCTTAATATATAGCAAATCGTTTCCTCAAAATGACCATGATGAAAGATGCATGATTTTGACCAACAAATAGGTATTGTCTTCATTCGAATGAAGTTAAACTAAAATAGGAAAAGCTCATACTGATTCAAAGATGTAAAGTTAGAAAAATACTTCCCATGTTCGATTAAAAAATAATTTTGTGATAAAGCACAAAAACCGAGCATTTATTGAAGAAGAAGAAAAAGTAAAATTAGGGTATGTTGGGGGTTGATAGTTGTTTTTGAAGAGGAAGAAGAATGTTTGGAGTGAAGGAGATGCCGTCTCTATGTGATGTTCACAAATGCTTAAACAGTTGCTTGAGAGGCAGAGACACGAACAAGAGAAACATAGAGAGACGAGAGTTTTATATTTAGGGGTGGGCTTCATCTAGCAACAGGAGGTCGTTTTGACTAGAAATAGGATTAAAAAAATAATAATAAAATGAATCGTATGATTCCTTCGATTCAAATCAAATCGTACGATTCAGTTGCGATTCTCGGCTAAAAATAATTTTATTACAAGATACGAATCGAATCGCAAATCGTACGATTTTGATAACAATGATCTGCGTTGCTTCATAGGGTTTAGGAGATCATCATTTTTATTTGCTTTCAATAAACTAATTTCTTAGGGAAAAGAACCACACACATGGGCTAAAAGAAGTTGGTTCCTTTGTTAGATCAAAACTCCCTCAATAGAGCCACTCTTAACATTAATGTAGATTACCAATAAACACTAAAAAACCTTCATGAAATTCTCTCTCATGATGGCTATTACGTTCGTTAATAACTGTGATTTTTTCAGTGTTTTGGTTCCTTTTTCACTTTGCATTTCATTTTCTGGTACATGCTCTAAGAATATGAGAAACAAACATAATGAGTAAGTATAATGTCAAGCGTGGAAGAATAACGAAACGAGAACAGCACAATAGGAGTATTTAACTAGAATAGTTATATGACAGACATCAACTTCTTGAATTATCTATTAAAAAGCATTCAGCAACTCTATTTTGTTGAAAATTGCAACTACAAAAATTCAGATGGTAACAATATTGATTTGAGGTAGAGAATGCTCATTCTTCTGTTTGTCATTTCTGTTGAAGTTACTGGCGGTCAGGTTCAATTCATTCAATTTTAGATTCTTTGGTTTCTTAGGTTGAGCAACTGCACAAAATATTTAAGTTATGTGGCTCCCCTTCTGAGGAGTATTGGAAGAAATCAAGGCTGCCTAATGCAATCCTTTTCAAGCCACAGCAGCCATACAAGCGCTGCATAGCCGAAACCTTCAAAGACTTTCCACCTTCTCTCCCTCTGATTGAAGCTCTTCTTGCAATTGACCCTGTTGAGCGAGGCTCTGCCACTGCAGCATTAAACAGTGAAGTGAGTAGCCTTTGGTAATTGCATACTTTTGTTAAAATCAAGTAATATTATCATCTTTCTATGATTATGTTATCTATAGCTCCATGATTGGATGCTGTTTGTAATTTATAGTTACCTTTTCCTTCACTTATTTCTATAGGTCCACTATCTGATCTTTTGTACTTTATTTTTACCGTGTTTTTCACTTATAGTTTTTACAAATATTGGACAGGATTACTGTTAAAGTTTTTCGAGAACTTTAAAATGATTTATGAATTGTTCCACAAGCTGATGCTGTTTTTGGGTCATGATAACGTTGATTTCCAGTTTTAGTCTGAAATGAACTGAAGGTTATAATATAAGTATGTGAAGAATGGTAAGAAATGAAAATTTGTTGCAGGTTGTTTTCTTGTCCAATGTTGGAGATATATGTGGATATTGCAATCACTGTTTTTCCTACGCTCCAAATGAATGTGTTTTTAAGCTGAAGCACCCTGGGTGGCAATATTATCGAGTACATGCTTGAATATGTTACCACTTATAACTATTGCGCCTTCTCTAATGCCCCTATGCGCCCCTCCTCCTTAAGCCATTGAACTCCTCCTGTATGTTCCTTTCTAAGAATTAAATTTCTTTAGGGAAGTTATGTGTTTTTTTTGCGGGTGCCTTGGAGTGGGGGATATGCTTGATAATTATTCAATTCTTGCAAAATCATTATCTGCCGGGGTGCATGCTCAAAAGTAGCTCCAGCAGTGGAAAACTCACCAGCAACCTTAGAGGTGCAGCCAAATTGATTTGTCTTATTTTACCTCGTTGCCTATCTCTCTCTCTCTCTCTCTCTCTAACAAACGTGCATTAGCTATTTAAATTGTTTGCTGGGTTACGTCAGTAGTTTTATTTGTGTCTAACCTCAAGGTTACTTCTTGCTTGTGGTACTCTGTTTCTTGTTTGGCAATAGATAAATACAGCTCTGAGGCTCTTTTCTCCACCCCAATCGCAATGTATGTGTTTCAAGGTTTTTTTATTGGAGCGATTCATTGAACCTGTGTATTTTTGGTATACAGTTCTTTACAATGGAACCTTATGCTTGTGAGCCATCAAGCTTACCGAAATATCCTCCCAGCAAGGAAATGGATGTGAAATTGAGAGATGAAGAAGCCAGAAGGTATTACATCTGGCATTGACAATTTCTTAGACCAGTCTTATTCTTATGCTCACATATTATTTCCTCTCCTTAATAGGCAAAGAGGTTTGAACAAGAAAACCAACGCTGTAGATGGTGCCAGAAGAGTGAGAGTTCGCGATAGAGTTAGCGGGCAATTCCAGCTCCAGAAGCCAATGCAGAGGTCCAAGCAAACTTGGATGTATGTGTGATAAATATTACGTTAACACATAACCTTGAAAATGCCAAGTTCGTTTATCACCTTTTCCGCATGATGTATGATTTATTTGATTGTATTGGGGGTGGGCAATACCATTAGGCAAGCCAGACCAAGCCACTAGCTTGGGGTTTATAGTTGGTTGGCCATTTATTACATTTTTTTCTTCTTTTTGGGGGATCAACTTGGTACATAATAATCTTTGTTGCCAATTGTCTTTGATATTGTTCCAAAAAGTGTCAGAATTCTTTTGCCATCATCAGAGTTGGGGTAGTGAGATCATTTCATCTAGTTAGATTTTAATGGAAGACTCAATGGGTTGAAGGCACTAGACTCACAAATAGGAGCGTTCATGTGATCCCTGGTTACCATAAATGGAAGTTGTGCATTTTGTTGCTTCTTTATGATTTTTCTTATTTTATTTTTCTCATTGGTGTTGGGTGTTTAAATTCTGAGTGGTTATTTTAACGTCACTCAGTAGCTCCTCAATGCTTGTATATATAGTTTCTTCCTCGTTTTTCTGTTATATTGATTGCTTTATTTATTGATTATCTCCAGAGGTGGAGAGTCATGACACAAGCTAATACTAAGAGCAAGAGTGAGAAATTCC